CTGGTCTTAGCTGGTCAGGCTGGGAGATGACCAGCTAAAACCAGCTTGACCAGCCTAGCCAAGCTGGGAGTCCAGCCAAAACCAGCTATATCCAGCTTAAACCAGGCTGGTCAAGCTGGTTTTAGCTGGTTTTAGCTGGTCATTTTCCAGCCTGACCAGCTAAATCCAGCTAAAACCAGCTTGACCAGCTTAGCCAAGCTGGGAGTCCAGCCAAAACCAGCTATATCCAGCTTAAACCAGGCTGGTTAAGCTGGTTTTAGCTGGATTTGGCTGGTCATTTTCCAGCCTGACCAGCTAAGACCAGGCTGGAAATGGCTGGAAACCAGCCTGGAAGTGGCCAAAACCCCTCTAAAACCAGCCTGTTCGACCAGTTAAAACCAGCCAACCAGCCTAGGCTGGTTTAAGCTGGATTTTTCAGCAGGGTTTGCGTGTATTTACACGATAAATGCGCTATAAATACACATTACATTACAACAATGCAGTGAATTGTGAAATTCTATTACCAATTAAAATAGTTTTTATCCATGTAATTAATTCTTATGACTAGTCACCAAGATCCATATTTAACAAATATTTGTAAAACTGATCATTTAATCAATTAAAAGATCCAAATAACAACTTATTTTAAGTCGATTGTAACTTTATGGATGTTTTTTTTTTACTGTCACTTTTGATCAGTTTAATGAATAAAAGTATAGATTTGATGATGATGGGCAGTATTTCAGTACCTGTGCTGACCAGTGTGCTGTTATTATACAGTGTTCCCAGGTGGGGACCAGACAGAGATAGGAAGGTGTGGAGTTTACAAAGGTAACAGCGGAATCTGGGTCGGGTCAGTACAGAACGTATGATGACATTCCCCAAAGAGTGTCCAATAAAACTGCAAAAAGAAAAGGCAGACATTGAATTTCACTTAAATAAGTGTGCTACAGTAAATGAGGATCAGATTTTAATGAGATGTACGCCATTTTCCATTTTCAATTCTTTAATTAGACTCGCCTGAGTTTTGATTTTACCATTTGAGACTTCAGAGAAGGAACAAAGAGTGTGAATTTGATTTAAAAAAAGCATACCGGGTGAATAAAAAATTAAGATTTCACACATTAAAACTATTCAAATTAACTTGGAGAAACATTTGTTACGTTTTTCGCAGTATGACTAGATTTAATTTCTTCAGCATCACTTTGTTTTGCTTTACCGCCATCTTGTGGCAACAAGAAGAGGTTAAAAAAAGCACATCCCTCATGCTATACTTATTCAAAATAAAACACGTGAAGGAAAATCTTGACTATTATGTACCAAACAACAAATGAAGATACTTTTACTAAATATTTTTATGTAAAGACAAAAATAATGTGTCTTGTAACGAGATTACTCTGAAGTGTGGCAGATGTATATCAATATACAACCACAAGAGGGAGCACTAGTCTGTCATTTGTATTTGTGTGCACATAGCTTAGCACACGGTGGGATCATAAGGTTTAAAAGTCACACAGTGTTAATCTTGGGCTAGTTAACACGGTCTTGCTAGTCCTTTGAATGAAATCTGCCTGAAACTGAATCTCTACCAGTAACGTTAGTTTGAGATGTTCTTGAAATCACAGATGAAAATATCAATATGATGGTGAGTTTTACATGTGTTGAATGAGGTAAATTGCTACCTGATGCGGTGGATAGTGAGGTTGTACAGCTGGATGTGCTGAATGATCTCATCCAGAAGTCTGTCAGTCATGGTGTCAAAATCTGCAAACGTGTCTGTCTGGAAAAAACAAGATGAAGAAATGTCAACAGAAAGCTGATCAGGCTTAATCTGTAAACTATAAGAAAGGTCTGATTGGATGTTGAGGGGAATTGGAGCTTTCTGATTGGTTGATGTGCCCAGTTGCAGTGTTGTTGACTTGTCTAAAGTTATAATTGTACTCCATTCAAATGTTTATGCAAACATAATAATAATGAAATAATGTGAGGAAAATAGCTACAGATTTTTAGACTTTACCTAATTTTCATACTTTTAAATGGACTTCACGTTTCTGATTGTCAGAAACCTTATTGTTTTTATCTATTTTTAAAACTGATATTAATTGCTCATTGATCATTACCATTCATTTATGCATTCATTTGACCATTCACTGAAGTTCACTAGTTTTATACTGTAATAATGGTCTATACTTTGCTTTTTATATTTTGTCCCTTTTTTTTTTTTTTTTTTGCCCAAAGTCTTCTCAGTAGCCAATCGTTTAACAGGTTTTTTCTTTGTAAGACATTCTGATCTAACCATTAATCTGTCACTGTTCTGATTGGCTAATATGGAGTTTAGCAAGTGTGCTGATTGGTTGCATGATCACCTGGTTGCGTTCTGACATGAGGAAGTCCAGTCTAGATCCTGGCAGCCCGAGCTCTACAAAAGTCTTGACCAACCGCAGATCTGCGCTGTTACCTGGTAACAACAAACAAGATAAACAGTTTACTGTAGATCAATGGTCTTAAACTCAGTTCCTGGAGGGCCTCAGCTCTGCATGGTTTAGCTCCAACCAGCTCCAACTCACACCTGCCTAAAGCTGGGGTCACACTGCACTTTTCTCCCTATAGACTTCTATTCATACACATGTGAATGCGTCATAAATTGCCATAAACGCAAGCTTGTGCGACAAGTTTCGCAGTTCGCTGTGTTGGAAAGTTCAAGCTTGGTGAACGCTGTCCTTGAACACCTTGATTACTGGCATTAGCTTTTTGATTAGGGTTGGAGCAAAACTGTGCATAGCTGCGACAGGAATTGAGTTTGAGACCAATACTGTAGATAACCTGAGAAGTTTTGCATATTTAAATAAATCCAAACTGTTTTCTTCAAGGCTGAAGCATTTACCATCAAGTCCGTGGACGCACACCACCAGGTGGATCCCATCCTCAAACTCTGTGTCGTCTTCTTCAGGTGGAAAGTAAGGATGTTCAGACGCGAGGTAAGGCAGATCACTGTAGAGAGTGCCCCTGAACACCAGCTCCCTCAGCAGGGCTTCCTTTGCCTTAAAGAAGCTTGCAGACGAAAGTGAAAAACATTAATAGCATAGTGAATTGTACACTTAAGTAGTTACAGGCTGGTTGCCGGTTACTCTGATTGGCTGATTGGAGTTTAGCAAGCATGCTTTTTGGTGGAAATTTCCACCTCGTTGTGTTTTGACATGAGGAAGCCCAGTATAAATCCTGGTAGCTCGATCAGTATAAACATTGACCAACCGCAGATTAATAATAGAGCGAATTGTATACTTGTATAACAGCCTGGTTGCCAGTTGCTAATTTGTTATAATTGGATTTGGCACATTCATTTGCATTTCTTTCTTTGTTTTGTTTTTAATCAAAAACATAAAGTAAGGAAGTCCTATCAGTTGTTGATTGAAAGGGACTGAATGAGTGGAGAGAACAAAAGAAATAGCATGCATTTAGTCATACAAGACCTTAATTTCAATCATTCTTCAGCTAAAAATAAGTCTGTGTGAATAGGTTGCTTATGCTTAAGTTGCTTTTGGTAGTAGAGGCCAGCTAATGAAGTGCTGAGTTGGGTGGTGTATGACTGGTGGGGTTACATTGGTGCCGTGACCCGGATAGGGGTGAGGTTTAGGGGTGTGAGTGTAGCACAGGGCAGATAGTGAAGTACTGTGCAGGTAAACCTCACTTCTCTGACCTCTAAAAAGTCATGGTCATGTTCTTAGCCTTTTTGGTAGAGCAACCCACTCCCATACTGAGAGTCGGCAGTTCAGTCTCAGCTCGGAGCGGGTGGGGTGGTGTATGACCATTGGCGTAACACTTTTATTTCAGAATGTTGATGTGTTTCCGACTGAAATGGAATATTCAGTAAGGGGTGGGGCTTTCTTTTACGCATTATTCCCTCATAGGAAAACCAAAGAGAGGGCGTTAGTATGCTGTTGCTATGGAACCCCTCGGGTTGAAATCCACAGTAGGACCATCCGCCACTCCAATCGCAGAATGGTCAGACTTTGATTGAAGATTACCAAAAAAAAAAACCCCTAATTTTCTTCAGTGGATTGACTTGCATGGATTGATAGTTCGCTTTATGCTTAACAATGTGAGCTAGCAAAATAAACATTGTAAATTTTGATTTCACATGGACTTTAAGGTTTTTGAGGAAAACACACAGTATTTTCCTGCACATTTTGTGACATAAAGGGGACTTCTGTGGTGTTTAGAGCCCTAATTGCAGTTTCAGTGCAGCTTCAATAATCAAAATGCCCCCCTGTTTTAATCAATAATCTGATTAATGTTAGTTTCAAAGCAGTGGACCAATCAGAAGAACTAGGAGGTGGGGGAAGCATTGCGAGCTTGGGTCTACGGTAGCAAGTTGAAATGACAACTGTTTTAATTGACGTAAACATGGCAGAACCATCCCTGAGCTCTCCATCTCACAATTTCAGAAGCAAAGACACATTCTCTGTGAATGACACCTCAGTTGTTGAACCACTATGGTCATCTTCTACCTAAATCAAGTGACTTGCACATCTAGACTGACTGTATTCATCCTCAGACTAAATGAACCAAATGGTGACTCCTGTAGATTGACAGTGCATAACGAATACATGTACCTTTGCAATCCTACTGAGCACCATAGAAGTCTACTCCTGTATATGTAAGAATATATATGAATACATAAAACTAAATCCAAGAAAGCCTTACTTTATCATCCTCTCATTGATTTCCTGGTCAGCACCAAAGAAGGAGTTGGAGGAGATGATCCCGAAGGAGCCCAGAGGTTGATGGGTAATGGGTGAGGTGGCCTGTCGTGTGGAGATTCCACTGACCGAAGGTGAATCGCGTAGTACAGATGAGAAGGGCAGGCACGTGGGAGCGCATGACACCGACAGGTTAACAACCTCCACCACCTTTTTATTTACAAATGCCAGACCTGTACTTGGCACTTTATTGATTCTGCTCTGTCCCTCTAAAATTTGCTGATCTCTCTCATTGGTTGGAGGCTCAATGGGATCAGCAGGCCTTTCTTTCTCATTGGCTGCAATTCCATGAGTCCTCTTGTCATTGGTTGTTGGTTCTGGGAGGTTCTCCATACTTGCTACTTCCAGTTCGTTCAAATGAATATGACAGACACTGATGTCGTCAGCATCCTTGTGATACTGGTTTGACTCCAGCTTCCTTTTGTGTTCGCAGTATTCATCTTCACATCGACAAATCTCTGTGCTTTCATCCATCAAATACTCCTTAAGCAAAATGTTTCCTTGAAAGTCCTTGGAGTTTTCAGTTAGTTCCTCCAATGTGGCATCTTTACCACTATCCATCAAAAATTGCTGGTATAGTAGCATTTCAGGATTCACAAAAGTAAGATCTGTGATATCCTGATTGGACGACTCTTCTATATCGATCTCCTGATTGCTTGTTTCGTTTCCATCCTCCCTAAAAACTCCTTGAAGATTCTGCTTCACCTCATTGGCAGCAACCTCACTCTTCCTCAACTGATTGGCCACACAAACATTCCTTTTCTCTTGATTGGTTGTTGTGTTTCCATCCTCCCTAGTAACCTCTTGAAGAGTCTGCTTCACCTCATTGGCAGCTTCATCCCTTATGTGATTGGCTACAAGGACATTTGTAGTATCCTGTTGGGTAGTTTCCTCCATTTGGAGATTCCTTTTCACCTCATTGGCAGATTCTTTATTCTGCCTCATCGGATTGGCCTCACACCTAGTCCCTGTCACCTGATTGGCCTCACACACAGTCCTCGTCTCCTGATTGGGTGTTTCACGATCTTCCTCTGTGTCGTCAGGGCTGCTGATCTGCGGAGCTGAGGCAGATTTGGTTAACGTGTTGAGCTGTCTATCCTCCTCCTCTTCATACGGCAGAGAGCTTATAGAGGTCAAAGAGGCCTGTGTGGCACTTGGCAGGCTGCCATGACTTTCGGTTTGTAAGCCCTCCAAAGAGCTCTGATGGGCAGTCCGACAGCGCGCCAAGCTCTGCAAGATGTCACGACCCCCTGCGACAACTCCCCTACCCTCCAAAGTCCAGGCCACCGAGCTTGGCTCGCTCTCAATTCCAGAGTCTGAGATCACAGAGGAGGAGCGATTCATTAGCTTAGCCCCGCCCAAAAACACACCCCTGGGTGGAGTCTCAGATAAACGGCGGATCTGATGTATAACATTACGTGAAGGGGATGTGACTAAAGGGTCTGTTCCAGGTAGGGTAGCCTTCAGTAGAATACCTGGTGATGTATCCTTGCCTCCGTAATCCTTTGCAGGTGCTTGGATGTGTCTGTTATCGAAAACCGTTTGTGGCTCCTGGTTGTCAGGACTCCCAGTATCACCTGGTGTTTCGAGATTGTCATCATGATTATATGTGGGTAAAAATTCGAAGCTGCCAAGGCTGGTAAGGTCAGGAAGTTCTCCAAGATCTGTGGGAACAAGCAGCAATGGCTGCCCACTATTAAAAACATTAGTTTGTTGTGAACTTGTATGATCGGATTCATTAGCAGCTTCTTTTTGGCAGCTGGTTTTCTCTTGGTTATCTATTACATCATCGGTGTCTACCGACATAGTGTTGCCATCATTTTCATATTGGCACGTGACCTCATCTACAGAATGGATTCTTGAATTAGAGCTTGTCGTAATAAATTCGCATCCATCAATATCTGCCTCCTCCACATGGTCAGTCAGAGTCTCTGCTTGAGGTCTGGGTTTGATATGTTCAGTGACATCATCATCCTGGTGGTCAGTCAGGGTCATGTATGTGGGCATTTCTGTACAGTCTTCAGATGGAGGTTCCTCAGGGCTTGTTGCTGGTAAACTGGTGTCCTGTGTTTTCTCAGCTGGACTGGCTGTTTGGCCTTTTACCCTAGTCGGCTCAAAACAAGGCTGAGAGTTCAAGACAGCCTGATTTTGCTCATGGACGACATTGTAGTCTAGAACAGAGAAAGAGAAAAGTGTTCAAAATCTGTACTTCTGTTGATTTGTTTTCAATTCATTGCTGTTCATTTTATCAGCCATTCTTTGATTAAATCATGCCAAGAACCCAATACATTTTCATGTGCATGAAATGTTATCTTTTGGGATGACTTTCCATAGGCATGATGGTTTTTATGCTGAGATAACTGTATTTCTATTGCATAAGCTCTTAGTTCCAGAAAAACAAGTTTACATGTTGATTCAGAAACTTTGTTTTTGTGCGCATACTTTGTTATATTCTTGTTTGCCTTTTCCACAGTTTTTTTTGTTTCATTCATTCATTTGTGATTAAATACCCAAACAAACAGCTAAACTAATGAATACATGTTTTTTGTTCATATGCATATTCATTCATTCATTCATTCATTCATTCATTCATTCATTCATCCATTCAATTTGTTTTAAACAAGATCACTGCAATCATTCATTTATTCATTCATTTTCTTTTAAACAAGATCATATCATTCATTCATTCATTCATTCATTCATTCATTCATTTTCTTTTAAACATGATTGTATCATTCATTCATTCATTTTTTCATTCATTCATTCATTTTCTTTTAAACATGATCATTCATTCATTCATTCATTTTTAAACATGATCATATCATTCATTAATTCATTTATTAATTCATTTTTAAACGATCATTCATTTATTCATTCATTCATTCATTCATTTTCTTTTAAACATGATCATATCATATTCATTCATTCATTCATTCATTCATTTTAAACATGATCATATCATTCATTAATCCATTCATTCATTTCTTTTAAACATGACCATTCATTCATTTAACCATTCATTCATTCATTCATTCATTTTCTTTTAAATGTGATCATATCATATTCATTCATTCATTCATTTATTTTCTTTTAAACATGATCATTCATTCATTCATTCATTCATTCATTCATTTTCTTTTACACATGATCATATCATTCATTCATTCATTCATTCATTCATTCATTTTCTTTTAAACAGGATCACTGTGTGCAGTCACCTAAACAGGGCGTGTCCACATATCTGTCCTCAAAGATGATTGGCAGGCTGCTCCAGTCTCCATCAATGTCCAGACACTCCACCGGAAGAGGAGGCATACGGAGCAGGTAATCTGAATTGCGCATCTCTGTGGAAACCTGTGCATGTCTGTTGATTCTAATGAGAGGGATATCATTTTTTAAGGCTCACATGCACAACAAGGCTAATGTTTATTATTATTTATGTCACAAATACAAATCAAGCTAAATTATAATATTTGAAAATGTAAATCACTCATCGTTAGTGAATTAAAAGGTCATCGGTAGTAACCAGTACCTTCATTTAAAGTCATGTCTGCATTAGGACAGCTAGGCATATGTTTTATGTGCCTGATAAACTATACAATAATAAAAGACTCACAGCTCTTCCTGAAATGTGAGCGAAGACTCTTTGGGATGTTCAGTGAAGAAATATGCTTCAGAAAATCTCCTGACCTGCAAATAAACAATAAATTTAGCATGTATAAATATAATAATAAAGTAAAATAAAATGATAATAATAGAAATAAGCCTGTAGAAAAAGAACACTTAATTATTTAATTATTTAATCAGAAAGTTAAAATTAATACCTCATAAACTGTTTTATTTTATTTTCAGGGTTAGTCATGGAGTAATACAACCTCTCTTATTTTAGATTTATTTTAGAATTATAATACCGAAACTAATTAGCTTCTTGTTTGTTTGTTTGTTTGTTTGTTTATTTATTTATTTATTTATTTATTTATTTATTTATTTATTTATTTATTTATTTATTTATTTATTTATTTATTTTTATTTTATTTTATTTTATTTTATTTTATTTTATTTTTATCCCTATTTGAAGTGTGTATTTATGTGTTTGTTTTTATTTATACTTTATGTATTTAATGTATTGGATGCTATTGGATGACTGGATTTTCTTAATAATAAATAATAATAAATTGGATATATAATATAAATTATATATATATATATATATATATATATATATATATATATATATATATATATATATATATATATATA